ATCCCCATCTCGAATCATTTCCTTGAGTCTCCCTTGATTCATCCCTAAACCCTCGAGTTTGAATATAAAATTTGAATTCGAATCCAAACCCTAAATCTCTCCATTTCTCTCCAAATCAATCTCCTCCGAAAAAGTCTATTTTGCCTCCCTCGGATTTTTGTGGGCCGTTTTCTCCTCGGCCCATCTCCTCTCAGCCGCTCCTCCCCCTTCCCTTCGCACGTGCTGAGCAAGCGCGTCGTGCCCGAGCCAAGAGAGAGCGCCGCCCTCTCCCTCTCTCGCCCTCTCTGCTTTCTCCTCACCTCGGCGCCGATTCCCGCCGCCGCCGTTTGAATTCGCCGGCCGCCCTTCCCGCGCGCGCCTCGCCTGCCCGCCGCCCAAAACGGAAGGGAGAGGCTTCCCTTTCCACCGTCCTCCCTCACTTTTCCCTTCTAAACCCGGCCTCTCTCCTCTCGCCCTTGTCTTCTTGTGCGCGGAGGCAGAGGACGCCGACAACGTCCTGCCGCGCCTGTGCCCCACCTTGACCGCGCCACGCCGATGCTCCCGCGCGTGGCGCCGCTCATGGCCGACCGCTGTGGCCGCACCACCGTCGCCCCTGCCGCGTCGACCGCCTTGGTCCGCGCTCGCCGCCAAACCAGCCCTCCTCCCTTTTCGCTGTCATCCGCTGCGTCACCATGGCCCCGCCTCCGCATGCCACAAGCCGCCAACGCGGCGACGCCAATCCCACGCGCCTCTCCAGCCTCGCCGCCCAAAAACGGAAGGAGCAAGGCTCCCTTTCCTCCTCCTCCTTTCGCTTTTCCCTTGCGGGCAAGGCCGTCTCGCTCTCTCCCTTGTCCTGGTGCGGGAGCGGACACAGGGCGCCGCTGACGCCACCTTTGCGCCCTGTCGCGCCCACGCCACCACCGCGACCATGCCAGCTCGCCACTCCCACCTTGACCGCGCCAGCCCTGCGCTCCCGTGGTTCGAAATCGGCCGTCCGATCCACCGCCTTCGCCGCCCAGAGCATCCACGCCGTCGCCGCTTTCGCATCGCCCACGAAACCGCCGCTGCCGCCAGCCGAGCGCTTGACCGCCAAGGTCGGTTCTCCCCCCCCAAACCGACATCGCCTCACCCCGCGCCTATAAAACCCGAAGCCGAGCTCCCCATCCCATCTCAATCCCTCCCACTTCACGCTCCTACTCCACCGCGCCATTGTCGCCCTTCCTCTGCTCTCGTCGTCGCCGTCCGCCGCCGAGCACCGGGAGACCGGTGCGTGCGAGGACGCGTGACGCGGGACTCCGGGCACCCTCCTTCCTCCCCTTCCTCGGCCCGCGGCCGGAGAGCTCGCTCCCGAGCCGTCGGCCGCTCGTCACTGCGCCCGTCTCGGCTTGGTAATGCCACCCTCCGTTCTCCCTTCTTGCTCGTCCTCTCCCTCCCTAGCTCGCGTGGTAGCTCGGCTAGCCCCCCGAACACGCATGGACACTGCCCCAGGTCTCGCCGCCGAACCGCCGCTCGTCGCCCTTGCACCGCGCGCTAGCTCGCCGGCCGCCATGCTCTGTCCCGGAGGCCGTCTCTCGTCGCCAGCCAACCTCGGTGCCGCTCCGTCCAATCCGACGCCGGGAATGGATTCCTTGAACCCCGGAGATGCTTCCACCGCCTCGAATTGAATCCTCGTCGCCCCTCCGCCGTTTGCCCTTTTTCTCACCGCCGGCGAGGGCCGCCGCGATTCGTCGTCGCCGGTCTCCTTTCCGTGAATCCGAGCCGGTGGCGCACTTTATCTCCTCCGTCTCTTTAATCCGGTGTGCTCCCTCCCTCTCGAATCGTCGTGACAAGCTCCGGTGAACTCGGCCGCCGTCCGCCGTCCATCTCGGCCTCCCCTTCTTCCTCCTCCCGCCGGCCCGTGTGGCTGCCACGTAGGCGCCACGTCGGAGCCACATCGGCCGCGACCGGGTCAGCACGACCAGCCTGCCGCCTCCCCCTCCCTCGACCGGTGCGCGCGGTCCACGGAGAGCCCTATGGCTGCGCGTGGGCCCGCCGCCTCTCGGTCCATCCGGCGCACCGCCCGTGCGCCATCTTCAATAAACCCTAGCGCCGCCCCCGCGTGAACCCATTCCTCCATGAACCCAGCCGCCGACAGGTGGGCCCGTCCCGGGACCCCGCATGGTGGACCGCGGTCCACCCGGTCGGTCTCCTCCCCCTCCCACGCCCCATTGGGCCGCCCTCCTCGCGGCCGTGCCGGCCCATTAGGCTCGCCCGAGCTGCGCAAGTCCCTCGGGCCGCGCCAATGCCACCCGAGACAAGTCTGATTCACATCCTTCGTCCATTTCCTTTTTCCAAAGGATTTAATAAATCCTTTTCCTTTAGACAGAAAATCCAAATAATCTTAGGAAATCCATATCTCCTCAACCGCTCGTCCGATTGACTCCGTTCAACTTCCAGTAATTCCGTGAAATTGAGATCTATCTAATGGTACTATTATCTAGTCTAAATAGGATCTTTCTTTTGGTCTTTTGTTTAGGTTTTTGATTGTTTGCGTATAGTTGCGGTTACCGGATTTTCGTCGATCGCGGGTTTTCTTGAAGGTTCGTGAAGCTTCGTGAAGACCTTGAGCAAGGCAAGTCACCCTTTGATCAATTGCTCCTATAATTGAAAAGTCATTATTATTTTGTTTGCAACTTGCACTATTAGAATCACACACTTAACTTGCTTGGCCTCGGTTTGCGTGCCAAACCGACGGACCTACCCAGTAGTCGCACTAATTTCCGTAGGTCGTACTACCCTGATTCCTTGTCGCTCCACCCTTGTGGTACCTCGGTATTCGTGCTCTCTGAGCGCGTATACCAAATATCCCACATACACCGTTGTTTGTCGAAAACTTGGGAAAAGGGTTTGTGAAGCCTTCAAAACCCGACATGTGGTGTCGGTGTGTTTGAAAATAAAATGAATTGTGAAAACTCGCGATGCGGGGGTTGTGCCTATGTGGCACTGTCCCGTATTCGCATATAAGGACCGATTCCTGTGGGAAACTCATCGAACATAACCAAAGTGCAACCACAAGGTGGAATGGGACACCCTGGTTAAGTAACTAGACGGTTCAGGGAAACCTCGCATGCCAATAGTTGGGAACGCCGGGGCGGGGTCGGACAAACCGGGTTCCTGGTAAGGCAAGGACGAGAAGCTTGCTCACTTACCGATCAAGGTGGTTGGAGTTTGATTTGTGCACGCCTAAAATGGCCTATGTTTATGTGAGGATTTGATCCTTCTATGTGGCATGAGGTAACCCTGGGTCGGCTGGGGAAAGGCTTTGTTGCGAACCTCCGATACCGACGGGTGTTCGGAATAAGTTCGTATCTTGTGGGTAAAGTGTACCCCTCTGCAGAGGTTAACTAACTGTTCGAACAGCCGTGCCCACGGTCATGGGCGGATGTGAGGTGGTTCCCGTTGCGTAGATTTGTTTGCCTGTGCTTTGTGAAAAGTTGTTGTGGTGTGGGAATCGTAACCAGAATCAGCCTATGTGGCAGATGGACGACCTGAGTGGTCAGAAACGAATCTGTGTGATTCGGGATGTCTGCGGGCATCATAGACTAGGCTTCCCGAGTGGAAGCGGATTGTTGTGCTGCTGGGCAGCTGGGCTCTGGGAGTCCGAGAAAATGAAAAAGGCTCTGGGAGCCGATTAATCAAGTGGAATGGCTCTGGGAGCCGAGAAGTAATGATCTGACCCGGGAGGTCGGTACATTGCTAAATGAGCTGTTGAAAAGCATCTCTTAAAGTCGAATCGAGACGCAAGTCTCTTTTCGCCCAAACATAGAAAGAAATAAATCACTTAGTGATTTCAAAATGATTTCAAACAAAAGATTTGCAAAACAACCTTGCCTCTCTTCCAAGCTAGCATTAAACACCTAAGTTCCCGTGACTTGCTGAGTACAAAAGTACTCACCCTTGCTCTATAAATATATATATAGTTCCTCCGCCCTGAAGAGAAGATAAAGTGAAGTGAAGATTAGGGTTTCGTCCTGGTTCCCAGCCGTCGCCTGTGGTGTTGGGTGTTAGACCGTTGGTTCCGCTGCTGCTGCTGCTGTTGGTGTTTCCTCGTCCGCGTCGTCGGTTGTATTCTCGGGCTGTCTGAGCTGCAACCTAAGTTAAGGTAAATAAGTCCTCTATTTATTTTAAGGATTGCTATGATTCATATTTGTCACCGTGGGTACCAGCACTATGTCCTGGGACTGGTACCGAGATCGCGGTTTCGTAGGAAGCGGTTCGCGCCGTTTTCCCTACGACACGCTCCTGTCAGGTGCCGTTGTACGGCGGTATCAGAATGGGGTGTGACAGTAATATAGATGGTATTCAAAGTTTAAGGAGTTAGGTGGACTTTCATCAAAAGTTTAAGGGGGTATTTGGACTTTTTATTTGATAAAAATGGGAAACTATTTTTTTTAAAAAAGAACTTCCCTGCATATATATGGCATGGTCCTGTTTCAACCTGTCCTAATTACGACTTCCGTTGACACGTTTCAAATTGTTGAGTCTTAAGTACGTCCATCATCAGCAAATTCACCATCAGTCAGTCCACAAAGAAGGTCTATCGGCTGCAGTCGAAGCTGTGGCTGTGAGCCAGTGTGACGGAAAATTCGACACACACCCACTTACAGGAAAATTCCTCTCCCGCGCCGCGTCAGGCCGTGAGGCCGTCACTATCTGTCTCCTTCCCTTGACCGACCCTGTTGTCCATCCATAATTCCGCGAAAATTTGGTAGCAAGAAGGGAAGAGGATTTTGATCCCTCGAGAGGATATCCTCTCGTTGTTTGCATGTCACTTAAATGGTTATGAAAAAATTTAAGAAGATGTATTAATATATGATATATCACTCCACAAACATACAAGTAAAAATTCAACTTGTACATCTCGCAACGAAAAAAACAAATTTGACCCTGAATATACGTTAACTAGCTGCGGTTCAATTTATTTTTTTCATTACAAGATATACAAGTTGAATTTGAACTTGCATGTTTGTGAAGTGTTATATCACATGTTAATACACATTCCCAATTTTTTTTTAAATTTTTTCATAACCATTTAAGTGACATACAAAGAACGAGGGGATATCCCCTCGAGAGATTAAAACAGTTTCCCTAGCAAGAAGCCAAGAACACAATCCTCCTGAGTTGAGAGACCACTGCGAGTAGCATGGCGCTGTGGGGCGGGCTGGGGCAAGCGGCAACGGTGGCGCAGCTGGTCGGGGCGGACATCGGCGGCCTCATCACCATGATCATGCAGGCAGCGATGACGGCTCAGCAGAACAAGAAGGAGTGCGAGCAGCTCGCCCGCCGCGTCTTCACCGGGCTCGACGACACGCTCCGGGAGGCGCACGAGCTTGTGATGGCATGCCAGGACAATAGCGCCATGTACAGGTTGGTGATGGCCGGGAGGCAGGCTGAAAAGTTCAGGGATGTTCAGAGCAGGATCGACTCCTACCTCCTCCTCTTCCCCGTTATCAGCCACATGGACATCACTCGTCGTCCAGCCTATTAAGAGAATATTTTCTATTCCGGGCCGCCCCATCCACCCTACCCTTTAACCAAACATAAAAAACTCGGGCGGCCATCTCCCATCCAGACTCATTCACCCAACAAAACACACCCTTATAAGATTAGCTCAATCCCAATCAACTGCCCATCTGCGCCTCGCTGGCCCTGCCTGCATCACTGGAAGAGCTATTCCCTTCATTCCAACTAGCATGGTGGCCCGCGCAGATTGTGCGGCTAGCATTATTATATTTTCTCTCATATAATAACATATATGTTTTCTTAATGTATTATTCAAATATATTAAAATGACAACATAATTTTAAATTTTGTACTATATTTACGAAACTACTAATGTGTAATAATCATATTGTATTTTATATACGTGTTAGTTATTAATAATAGTTATTAATTTTTTTAATATCAAATTTTAATTATTTGTAAATATATTCCTATATGGATTCTACACTCGTCTTTCAATATTTCTTTTTTATAATTCCGAATTTTCGTTATCTGTAAATTGTATTTCTATATAGACTCTAGGCTCTTCTTCCAATCATATTTATTTTTGATTTTGAATTTTTATTATTTCTAATTGTATTTATATGTGGACTCTAAAGTCTAAACTCATCTTTCAATATTCTTTAATTTTTAATTTTGAATTTTATTTACTTCTAAATTGTATTCCTATATTGACTTTAGACTCTTCTTCCCATATTTTTTCTAATCTCGAATTTTAGTTATTTGTAAATTGTATTTTTATGCGGACTCTGAACTCTACTTTTAATTTTATTATGTTTATTCTGAATTTTAGTTAGTTTTAAATTTCTATATTGACTTTATACTCTACTTATAATGTTCCTTATTTTCAATTCCAAATTTCTATTATTTCTTAATTGTATTTCTATATGGACTCTATACCCTACTTGTAATATTCCTTATTTTTAATTCTGAATTTCTATTATTTCTTAATTTTATTTCTATATGGACTCTATGCCCTACTTCTAATATTCCTTATTTTTAATTTTGAATTTCCATTATTTCTTAATTGTATTTCTATATGGACTCTATACCCTACTTCTAACATTCCTTATTTTTAATTTCGAAAATTTCAGTTATTTATAAATTGTATTTCTATATGGACTCTTAGCTAGTCTCCTCTTCTAATATTCCTTATTTTTAATTCCGAATTTCAGTTATTTATAAATTGTATTTCTATATGGACTCTAGTCTCCTTTTCCAATATTCCTTATTTTTTTAATTCCGAATTTCAGCTATTATTAAATTGTATTCCTATATGGACTCTGCCTTTTCTTTTTCTCCGATTAATATGAGAATTTCTAGACCATGAGAGCGAACGTGGATGCTTTTTTTTCTATTCCTTTAATAATATAATACATGTAAGAGCAGGTACAATGATGGGCGGTAGTAGTTCCATGTAGGATTTTGTGTTGATCCGGAGGAGAGAGGGGAAGGGAGAGAGAGTGAGCCGGTGACTAATTTGTCGCCGGCTGCACGCGCCGCTCGAGGAGACTGTGGGGCCCACCCTGCGCTGCCTCTTCTCCTCGCCAACTCCCGCATCGGCCATGCCTTTCGCTGCAACGCTGCCTGCCTCCATCACCAACTGCCGCAGCCACTGGACCGCCACCCTTAGCCTCGCCGGCGCCGACGCACAGGCACCGCTATCTCCCACATCCGGCGCACGGCCCCCGTCACGCCCGCATGCACGGTCGCCGCCGTGTTCTGCCTCCACCGCACGGCCCGGCCACCGCTGCCCCCGTCGCCCGCCGCACGTTCGCCGCACGGTCGCCGCCGTCTTCCGCATCAGCCATGTGAGACGCGACCCGGCCGCCACTACCCCGTCGCCCGTCGCATAGTTGCCGCCATCTTCTGCCTCTGTCGCGCGGCCCGGCCGCCGCCGTCTTCCGCCTCAGCTGCGCAGCCTAGCCACCGCTGCCCTCATCGCCCACCGCACCGTCGCCGCCATCTTCCGCCTCAGCCTCGCGACCCGGCCGCCGCTGCCCCCGTCGCCCGCCGCATAGCCGCTGCCGTCTTCTGCCTCCGCCGCGTGGCCCGGCCGCCGCCGTCTTCCGCCTCAGTTGCGCGGCCCAGCCGCCGCTGTCTTCCGCGTCCGCCACCATCTCCTGCGTCCGCCGCCGCCGTCTTTCGTCGTCGGTGACAGGAATCGAGGGAATAGGAGAAGAAGACATGAACTGTGAGGGGATAGAAGGAGAAAGAGAATGTGAGGTAGGAGAATATGGTGGGTCCCACGAATCAATAAAAAATTTGTGTTATAGCATTTCTATTGTATAGACATTAGCATTTACTATAGATGACATGGCTATTTTTTGGAGCCAACCGCAGGCTATATTATTGACCTTGCTCTAAGTGCAACCTAGTATAGATGTAACTTGTCTCAGGACTATGAATTTAGATGGACATGTGTGTTAGGTATGTCACATCTGTATTAGGTTGTACTTATATTAAGATGAAAGGAGTATGTTCCACTATCACATCATTTTCAGATGCGGACATTAATCAGTATGTCCCAGGACTACTAGAAAAACGATTTTTAGCAACGTTGGCCTTTTATATTTCCAGGCGGGGATGACCATTGAAGCCAAATGGCCGCCTACAAAAATACAAACCCGGTTAAAACTCGCTGTCCGCCTGATTTTCGCAGGCGAACCACTTAAGCGGTCCGCCTGCAAAAATCGATATGGATATAAATAGACACCACAGCACATCGATTTTCTCTAAGTGTCAGAGCTCTCCTCTCCCTCAGGCCTCACGCCTCTCCTCTCAGCTCTCCTCTCCTCTCCTCTCACTAGCGATGGGAGCGGCGGAAACCGGCGACGGCGAGGCGCGGAGGCGGCGGGGTCGGCGACGGTGAGGCGACGGCGTCGGCGCGGCTCCCCTCCCCTCTCTCCCAGATCCGGCCGAAGGGGGAGGGAGGAGGAGAGGTACGTGGCGGTGGCGGCGGTCCCCCTCCCTCCCAGATCCGACCGGAGGGAGGCTGGGGGAGGGCGGTAGCATCGGCGGCGGTCCCCCTCCCTCCCAGATCCGGCCGGAGGGAGGCCGGGTGAGGGCGGCGGCAGTCTCCCTCCCTCCTAGATCCGGCCGGAGGGAGGCCGGGGGAGGGCGGCGGCGGCGGCGGCGGCGGCAGCGGATCTGGGAGGGAGGGGGAGGGCGGTGGCGGTAGCGGAGGTGGGTAGGGGCGCAGGTGGGGGTGCGGCGATTTTTTTTTGTTCGTTTTGATGATTTTTGCAGGCGGGTGACTGGGCCGTCTGCGAAAATCGATGGCATACAGGCGGATCGTGCCCCCGTCTGATAGGTTCATTTTTGGCCACCTGGAAAAACCATTTTTCTTGTAGTGATACGCAGTGCAGCAATCAACATGTAACTTACATCAATTACTATAAAAAAACACAATCATGATCAGCTTAATTACTAGAGATGTATTCATACGTACATTCATCCCAATTTTGACAACAAAACTTAGATTGGCAAGAACTAGTAGGCATCCGGCTCAGCTGCACGATTGATTACTTGAGCACGGTGAAACCTGACTTCCGAGACGACAACAATTGGCACGATGGACGCCTCGCCTGACGCGTCAAGCCAGGTGCGAAACGGCTACTCCGCGAACGTTCGCCAAATTCTGATCTGGCGAAGCTGTCGGCCCGGCTTTCTTTCCTTCTTCTTATTTCCCTCCTTTTCCATTTTTATTACGTGGGTTAGGCAGAGGAGAGAAGAGAGAAGCTAGAGCGCGTGCATGCATGCAGCTTTGCCGCCTCTTGCTACTGGAGTGGGATCCACACGGGAAATTTTTACGTGATAAACTCATTTAGTTTTGTTGCATTTACTATTTTGTTTATCTAGTTTCTTACACTATATATGTGCGATATAGTTTCTGCTTGCTGACTTATTTTCGTTGCTTTAATTTTTTTTGCTTCAATAATAGATACTCCCTCCATCCTAAAAAAAAATCTAGAATTAGATGTGACACATTACAGTACAACGAATTTGGACAGAGGTATATTTAGATTCGTAGTACTAGCTAGGATGTGTCACATCTAGTACTAAGTTGGTTTTTTATGGGACGGAAGGAGTATACTACGAGTTGTGTCCTTTACAAGTCATGATTTACAAAATAAATATATTTATTCCAATATAAAAAATCGAGTATAAAGTTTATGTATATAAAGTTTCCGAATATAAAGTTCATGTGTATAAAGTTTCCGAGTATAAAGTTTCTGAGTAAAGAGTTTTAATTCGCGTGTAAAGTTTACTAGTAGAAAGTTTTTAAGAATTTCTGTTTCTTCTTTAAAGAAATCTTAATAGTAAATCCTAATTAAAACGTTAATTAAGGATGGTGCTTAATTACGATCATGGAGAGTAGGATCGAGGCTTGCAACAGATGAGTCCCGCAGGAACACGCGTGATGCGTGGACGATGACCCAGCGGAATACGTGCTTAATTACCGCTTTTGATTGTTGTTTCTCGTTCGCGCTACGCGAACACTCGCGCATCAGACGCGCCCAGCGAGGTGTGCTATACTGCTACCATTGGCCCAGGACGGGGGCATGGCATGCACGCGGGTACGCTACAGGGAAGGCGGACGCGATGGACTGGCGGCACAACCGTGTAGATAATGACGAGCGTGGCCTTGGTGTCATCGATCCTCGCGAGGAACGTGGCCTCGGTGCTGGAACGCCGCCACCGCGCGTGGTCTCCCCGTCCCCGATCTCCCATACCTAGGGGGTGAAAATGGTACCGAAATAGATGAAAATTATCTTTATCGTTTTTGTTTTCATATTTTTTCGGAATCGAAATCGGAATTGGAAACCCTAGATACAAAAACGGAATCGAATATTATTGAAACCGAAAACGGAGCGAAAACGAACCAACACGAATACGGTAACAAAAATTTATCGGAATAAAAAAAAACCCTCAAACTAATAAACCCAATTCTCAAGTCCCAACAGTGAACAATTCATCATAAAACATAATCATATAGGTCCAATTGTTAAGTATCAATAGTACATCACAAAACACAATCTATAGAATAAATTAGTAATGCGGTTGATCAATCCCAATGCTGGAAAAAATATTTTTATGTAATTTTAGATTTGCATAACAAATATTTTTAAAAAAAATACTCCCTCCATTTCAAAATATAAGACATAAC